ACAGTACAGCAGATCTGTACTCCAGAGTCGCCACCCCACAGAGTCCTGCTCAGTTTTAATTTAGAGAACAGGGCAACTATGACTGTGATAACTTTCTGTCAAAATGGGGCATAGGACTGCCTCAGCTTGGAGAAGAGACACTGAATTGGAAGTATTCCTGAGTTCCAAGGAGTGGATTCAAACAATTGCTAATCAGAGAAGGGAAGAAATACAAAAACAGAGGGGAAATAATCAAATGGTGGTACAGTCTTGAGACTGGTCCTGGTTCCTACTCAAAGAAATATGCATAACAATGTCTTTTCAGTTCTTCTACAGAACTGGAGCCCCCACCCAGGTGGAAGATGGTGACTTCAGACTAAACACAAGATTCCTAGAACACAGCTCTGTTGCTTGACCACCCGCCAATCACCCTAAATGTTGCCTCCTGTTTCTGGGGGCCAGTGATGACCATCCTGTTAGGTCTCCTGTTTGGCCCCTGTCTATTTTATCTCTGAGAGGTGCCAACAGTTTCAAACTAAGTTGCTGTTATTACAAGAGTAAAAGCTGGTTTCAGATATAAAATACCCCAACTTAGGTCAGGTATAGAGAGACTTCTGCTCTGCTAGGCAGGCCTATGCCTAGGCACAGCAGGAAGAAGTTACAGAAGAAAGAGACCTCTGCCCCAAATCCCAAAAAGCATCATGAGTATGAAATCTCTCAAGGGGGAGTTGTTAGGAAAAACACACTGCCTGTCCATCCACCTAATGTTTTTCAGATCGCAATATTCGCCTGTCCCCACAGATGATATAAAAGACCCATGATTGGGCCTTCCATAGAAACAAAGACAGGGGGGAATGTGGGGCTGCCGGGGCTGGCAGGTGGCCTGGACCTGGGTTTCGGTCTCCCCTGAAATGGTGGGATTCCCTGCCCCCATCAGGTAACCTGGAGCCAGCCAATCAACATGCGCCTAGCAAGAAAAAGGGAACCTATCAGGGGAAAGCTGTAAAGCCCGCGAACGCCCAAGTTCCAAAAAAGCCCGTGAAGGTTTGGGCCAATAAGATTACTTTGCAAACATGTAACCAATCCGCTTAAGCCAGCTACCAACTGCTTATGCACACCTTATAAATTGGGTAACAGCTTGGGTTCAGCACTCTCTGACCCCATACCACTGCGTTGGACGCGCGGCGGGAGACCTGACTCGAGTCAGCAATAAACTTCCCTTTTTCTGCAAGTTGCATTGTCTTGGAAGCCTTCTCTCTTCCCGCTCGGGGATTCAGACATCGGGCATAACACCAGGCAGCCCCCAGCTCTTTCCTAGTGTCTGAGCAGCAATGTTGAGATGAGAAGGAAGAGAAATGGGCACAGCAGGTGCTGCTTCTTGGACTCTGTGTAGGCAGGCTGCTTTTGCAAGAGCTCTAGGTCATTGTGCAATTTGCATGTCTTCTCTGGACCTTGGATTCCTGGACATCCGTGAAACACAGACACTGACACTACAACTAAACCCTCAGGGTTGCAGTGAGATACCGATGAGATCGTGGGCTGAGGGTGCTCTTTGAATTCTCATGTTTGTTTAGAGCCATGAACATCAGTGGCAAATGTCCAGAACCCAGGTGAGGGCGAAACTGACTGAGTCAACAGGGCCAAAGTTTGCCCTTCTTTTCTCTGGAAACTGGCACTGTAACCTCAGGTTACAGGGCAGGTATAAATAGTTACTAGTGGCTGAGGAACTTCAATTTGCCTGGAGGTTCTGAAGCCCTAGAGGAAGCAACAGTGAGTGTCTCTGTCCTTGCCTCTCAATTTGCTTTCCTGTGTCTAGTGAGTATCTTCCTGCCTGAATGGGAGCTTTATCCTACTGGTGCTGAGGAAGGCAGGGTCTGTGTAGCTGCTCCAGTCTAGGAGGGTGAGTGTTGGAGGTGGGGCACAAGGTAATAATGGATGCTCTACACTGTGTTCATTTTGTTTGATGAGAGGTGTGTTTCCTGGGCTGGGAGAAGGGGAGAGGTGGATGTGACATCCAACCAGATCTCTGATGCTGTTGTCTGGAAGTTCCCATGGAAAATGGAATTCATCGTCCTCCTGGAAAGAGGCACTTCTCTGGCCAGAAAGCCCCTTCCCTCCCACTACCTCAGCCTGCCAGCGACCCTCTGTCCCTTGTTTGCACAGGTCACTCAGGCTTGCTTTCGAGTCTTTCCAATGCCCATGAGCCCTTTCCATGGTCAAAGCTTTATAATTTCTGCCTGAGAGAAGAAAGAAGCCCAACAGTGGGACTGACCCATGTCCTGTACCCACCCCAGATCTCATGTAGCTCCTGAGTCCCTTTCTGATGGTAACTGGAAGCTCTATTGGACATCTGCTCTTTCCTCCCCTGAAGCCAGCCTTTCCCTAACTGTGTGTCTCACATGTCCCTTCCTCCATGAGGCTGCTGGCCCAACTCCTCTTGGAAGTCAGGACAGACTCTAGGTATGCCAGGGACTTTCCTCGTGGAGCTCAGGAATGACAAACCCTGGTAAACACACAGTCATGCTCCCATCCTGTGCTCAGGACAGACCTCACCCAGTTTAGGACTCTGGCTTTTTTTCAGACAGCACTGCAGACCTCCAATACTAGTCTGTCCAGAACAGCAAGTGAGAGGAAATGAGTCTGCCTTGTCACAGCTAAGCCAACCACCTTACTGATACAGAAAAGGATAGGCAGGTCCAGAAGGGGACAGGTCCCACCTGAGGGCACTCAGTGAGTCCCTCCTGATGAGACAGATGGCCTCAATGAGAAATTCTACATCCTGGTCACAGTACCACTGGCAAGGATGACAAGCCCCAAAAGGGATGACACAGAGCATCTGAGAGTAGATCCATGCTGCTGGCAGACTGGTTCAGAGGCCCAGCTGGTCCTCTCATGTCCTCTCTGGCCAGACTTTGCCCACCTTTCCCCAAACTGCTGTTGGAGCCCTGCTGCTCTTATCTCCAAATGATGGGAGAGGAGATGGGGGAACTGCTTCTTGGACCTCCAGGAGCTGGGCCAGCCCTAATCCTCGTCCTTGTACCAAGAGCACTCCCTCTTTCTGTTCCTCTGCCTAGGACATGCTTCTCCTCCCTCTCTCCATGTTGCTCCTGCTCACACAGCCCTGGAGATCTCTGGGAACAGAAATGAAGGTCTATTCCCAGAAAATACTGGCCAACGCCTGTACCCTGGTTGTGTGTAGCCCCCTGGAGGATGACTTGCCTGGTCGTGATGGACAAGATGGAAAAGAAGGCCCACGAGGGGAGAAGGGAGATCCAGGTAGAACTGGGACCATGGGCCTGTTCTTGTGGGAAGGGGTGGGCACTGGGATTGTAACCAAGCCAGAAACTGAGTCTTCTGCTCGGGAAGCCTTATAGATGGTCTTCTTCCTAAACGGGTGGGTTTCACCCAGATTTTGAACCCACCTAAAACACGGCTCTACTGGTTTGCTAAGACTGGCTGCCCTGAGCCTTCAGCTTCATCACCAGCTGTCCTGATTCCTCCCCTAGAATCTTCTGACTCCAACCAACCCAAGAATGTGCAAACAGCGAGTAATGACTGGTATTTGGAGTCATCTGCTCTAGACCTTAACTACTGTCTATTTGGATTAAATGGTTCCTCTCCAGGGTGGTAAAGATTTTTAATATTTAATTAAGTTCTACTCCATTATGGGTGGGAAAGGATGAGACACTATAGTCCCATACTCAAGCCTAAATAAAAGGATTTCCCCTAAATATATTACAGAGGGAAAGAAAGGAAGCTTGTATTTCTTTGTCCAGCCCTGTGCTTAGGAGTTCCCTTGAGTAGTTTATTTAATCCCACCAAAAGTCTAACAAGTGATGCATTAATCTCATTTGATAGGGAAGACAATTGTGACACAAAGATGCTAAGTGAAACCCAAGCTAGGAGAAAAGGACATGAGTTTCTTATTCAGACACATCTGTGCTTATCTACTAGTTCTCTTTCCACAATAGAGTCCCCTAGGGACAAGTCACTCTGTTTCTGAGTCTCAATTTGCTCATCTGTGGATGGGAGTAACATGACCACACAGTGACAAATAGTTGAGCCAAGCCTCCTCCCCACCTTTTTTTTTTTTGGTGAGGCTTTAGGCTAATGTTGCATCCTCTTGCTGTAATCAGCAATCAGGTGGATTCTCCTGAGGTTTCCCAAGATACTGCTTATTAAGGGAAGTGTCTGAGAAACACTGCCCCACAGGAGAAGATATAGGTGTTACTGGTAAGAAGTGAGAATCAATGAACCAGCAACAAGGACGAGGGCACCACCATGGCACTGAACCAGGGCTGTGGAGGGATCAACTGAGGTCTTTTAACTTTCTCTAGTTTGTATTTTGGTTGGGGAAGAAGCAAATGAGCAACAATTTGTAGGATCCTTGTTGCTGGTTCCTATACACACCAGTCTTTGTAAGTATCTGTCTGTCCTTTACAAACAGAAAGTAGCTTCCAGCATGAATGAACTGGGCCTTAATAAGGCTGCCTAGAAGTGAACTCAATAGTGGGGTGGTATTCAAGGTACGAGCATTCTCTAGCTCTCAGAGGGGCCCTGAATTGAATCCCAGGGCAGGGGAGGGGTGGGGACTTTTCCTACAGTGGCCCCTCAGCTGCATGGATGTTCCCCAGACCACCCTTTCTTGTGCACTCCAAGTCTGGCCTTGAGTCAGTGCTTGGAGAGAGAACAGTGCACAGCTGGGCCAAGACCAGGCTCCACACTGGCTCCCCAGATGCAGGCACTGCTGTCCTTCAACTGTGATGGGTCTGGGAATTTCCTGGAGATCCCAGCATCCTCAGATCCTGACCAGTAGGGCTGGGTGTGGCCAGAGTCTGCACTGGGGACAACCTCCCCCACAGATTCTGACACACATGTTCCCAAGAACCTGATGTGAAGGACAAGATGACTGAATTGAATCCCAGGGCAGGGGAGGTGTGGGGACTTTTCCTACAGTGGCCCCTCAGCTGCATGGGTGTTCCCCAGACCATCGTTTCTTGTGTTTTCCAAGCCTGGCCTCGAGTCAGTGCTTGGAGAGAGAACAGTGCACAGTTGGGCCAAGACCAGGCTCTACACTTGCTCCCCAGATGCAGGCACTGCTGTCCGTCAATTGTGAGTGATGGGTCTGAGAATTTCCTGAAGATCCCAGCATCCTCAGATCCTGACCAGTAGGGCTGGATGTGGCCAGAGTCTGCACTGGGGACAACCTCCCCCACAGATTCTGACACACATGTTCCCAAGAACCTGATGTGAAGGACAAGATGGGCCTGAGAGGAGAGACCCTTGAGCAGAGGTAGAGGGTGGGGCTGGGTCACTTGGTGATGCGCCAGACGTGTCATGCAGGGCCAATAACACCTGGACCCTGCTTGGGGGCTGTATATCCAGGGACAATTCCATCTTTCCTCAGTGCCTCTGAGATTCCTGCCCAGAAGGGGGCAGTGAGAGAGTCCATCCAGGGGGGCAATTCTCCCCTGGGAGTGAAACCTCACACCCCACACATCCCCACCACTCAGCTCTGCTGATGTCTCTGAGCTCATTTCCTTCCCCTCCTCCCACACTCCCTGGGCACTGACCACACTGGCTCCTTGTTGGTCCCTGAGCACACACACCCCCCCGCCTACCCAGGGCCCTGTCCTTGCTCTGTGCATACACGTCCCCATGGCTCACTCCTCACCCCCTTCACAGCTTTACACAAGAGTCCCTCTCTGGCCATCGTATTTAGAAGACACCCCCACCAATTCTCTAGGCTTCAATTTACCTCTGTAGCACTTATTCTTATCTGATATGTTAAACATTTTCCTTTTGGTTATGTATTTCTACATAGTTGAGTTTAAGCTCCATGAGGGAGGGTTTTATGTTTTTTGTTTTTTTTTTCCATTAAGAATCCCAGAATTTAGGACAGCACCTTGTATCTAGTAGAAGCTCAGTGAATACTTGTGGAATAAATGAATGTAAATGGCCAGGAGATAAGGCATTTAAGTACAGATTTGTATTTCAGTCATACAGTCCCCGTCTGACTCTTTGTAACCCCATGGACTGCCCCATGCCAGGATTCCCTGTTCTACCTCATTTCCTAGAGTTTGCTCAGACTTATGTCCCTTGAGGTGGTGATGCCATCAAACCACCCCCTTCTCTGTCATCACCTTCTCCTCCTGCCTTCAATTTGCATGGGGGTTATTTCAGGGGAGACTGGAGCTTCTTGGGGGACAACATCTTTAGGAGATGTTTAGGCTAAAGATCTTTTAGCCCCATCTTTTATGCACTCCCACTTCCAAGGAGATTCAGTGTCACTAACCGGGCTGGTCCTTTTCCCCAGGGCTTCCAGGCATGCCTGGTCCAGCTGGGAGAGAGGGTCCCTCAGGGAGGCAGGGGAGCATGGGACCTCCGGGCACACCAGGCCCCAAAGGAGAGACTGGGCCCAAAGGTAGGAGGGTGGTATGTGGTGGGTGAGGGAGGGAGACGGGAGGGGTGACATGGGCAGCCCTGGTGGGGACCAAGGTATGTGCACAGTGCCTGGAAAAGCCTGGAACCTCTGCACCTGGTCACCCTGGCCTGGGCCTCTCCACCCACATTCCCACACTGACTGAATTTCCCCAATGCCGTTCGCAGAGGAGACCAGGCACTCAGGAGCAGTCTCCCAGGTCGCTCTCTCACCTGGAGCTGTGTGTGACAAGCTGCACTGCTAGGAAGTGGGACCTGCTGAGCACACTCTCAGCCATGTTTCTCCAGTGTGTTCCCTCTGCAGGAGGAGTGGGTGCCCCAGGCATGCAGGGCTCCCCAGGTCCCACAGGTCTCAAAGGAGAGAGAGGTGGCCCCAGTGAGCCTGGAGCCCCTGGAGGTGCTCGTGTGGCAAGTGAGCAATGAACATGGGGCTGGGCTCATGCTCCCTTTGCCCACTACCACCAGCCACCAGGTCAGAGCTGGCATTCCAGGATGAGAGCCAGTGTTGGGTTCTAGGAACTGTCTGTCTCCAGGGAGAGGATGGTTTGAGCAGCAGGGTATATCTGTATCCAGGGAAGGCTGGTTGTTGGGTTTTGGGACAGGCAATGTACAGAGAGAATGCAAGGAGTGGTTGCAGGCACAGACGGACATTTGTACAGGGGGAGGGCATACTGCCAGGGATATGACAGTCCATGTACTGGGGGAGGTGAAAAGTGCTGGAAAGTGTGCCCAGAACTCACACAACTATTTTCTGATCCCAGGGCCTGTTGGTCCACAGGGACCTTCAGGTGCCATGGGCCCCCCAGGACTAAAAGGGAACAGAGGTGATCCTGGAGAAAAAGGAGCAAAAGGGGATTGTGCATTTTCAGGTAAGAAAGCTCTGGGGGCTCTAGTGGGTGTGGAGGGGCCAGCAGGCCCTCTTCAGTCCAGCACCTCCTCTCATGCATCCCACATCCTTATTCCTCCCCCAAGATGCGTCACCCTTCCCTGAGGCCTGGGTTCTGAGTGACCCCAGGCAGTGCTGGATCTGTCTTCACTTGGCCTCTCTCTCCTGCAGAAGTTAATACTCTGAGGCAGCGGATGACAAACTTAGAGGGAGAAGTACAACGCCTCCAGAATACTGTCTCTCAGTATCGGAAAGGTGAGCTCCTGGACCTGACCCTGAGCTGGCACCAAAGGTGGACCTCAGACTGAGTCTGGGCTTGGCTTGGAGTTTGCTGGGCTGGGTCTAAATTGGACTTGCTGGGACCATGATTGGGACTGGACCTAGACTAAGAGCAGGAGCGGGGCTAAGGACAGGGCTGGGACAGAGCCATGCCCCACGTGCTCCAGGAGCTCAAGTAGACACATGTGACAAGGAGGAGGATGCGGTCCATGTCACCAGTTCAGCAGATGTTCACCACAGCCTACCCTGGGCGGGTTCCTATGACAGACAAGGGGTCACCCAACGTGGGATGCATTTCTTCCCTCTGTGGGGCCAGGTGTACAAGTGCCCAGAGAAGCAGCCGCACAGCCCAGGGCAGCAGAGAATCCAGGACTGGTCCTGAAGGCAGGGGTGGGATGCTGCCTGTGGGGTTCAAGGCTGCTGGGGACCTGACCTTGGTGTGTGGCCACCAAGTATCTCACCCTAAAAATGTTCTGAGTCTGGCAGGGGCAGTCTGCCTCCAGTATCTGGCCAGTGCTGCACTCTCCCTACATCTGCTTAGGTATTTAAAGCAGAGATTGTTCCCTAAGCCTGGATCCTAAACAGGCCGAGGCCTCCTGGAGCACACACCTGAGTTCCCTGTGCCTTTGGGACTCTCCACCAACTGCACCTTCTCCTTCTCTGCTTTCTCTGAAGTCAGCTTTGAATCCACATTATTCATGAAACCTCAGTGATTGAAAAAAGAGTTTTCTGAAGGTGCCGGGTGTAAAAAGGCCTGATCTGGTGAGACATAGTGTTGGCTCCTATGGACTCAAGCCAACTAAGTATTGAAGTAGTGGGATGAGCATTTCCAGCAGTTCATGTCTTCCTTCATATCTGCACACCTATTTACTCCCTCATATGAGGACTGATACAAACAAAGCAGAACTTCGGCATATGCGCTGGCCACACATGTGTACCTAAAGACCACTCAGTCCACACCACCTACATACATGAACACACATGCACACCGATGCACACCTATCACCCAGATGAATGGATGTAAACCAAACATGGCACACGAGCTGGTGTGCCACCATGACTACATGGAAAATGTGGTCTCCAACTGCTTATTGAAGCTACTCAGAGGAAAAAGGCAGTGGGTCAGGATGCTGCCTGGTTTTTGAACCAGTCCAGTGAGCCCTCTTAGGAGCCCTGAAGATTTCCATGAATGATCCTGGAAGTCAGAGTGGTATGGATGGGATGGCGCAAAAAGAGATACTTAAACACCACATAGGGGGTGTTGTTATATAGTGTACCTCTACCTTAGAAATAAGAAATTCGACTCTGAAAAGGGAAGTGACTTTCCCTTGCCACCTGGGTTGATATTGCCAGTGTGGGGCTGAACACATGGCCTTCTGAGGCCCAGATAGGGCTCTCTCCAAAGCTGATCCCACCTTGCCCTCCTGCCCCCACGCAGAGCTCTGAGATTCCGTCATCCCCTGCTCAGTGGTCCAGGGAGGCTGACTGGCTGTAGCATCACCTGCAAGAATACGGAATCCAACACTGGACTGCACCCAGTGCAGAGGTCAGCACTTGGCTGCTCTCAGATGCACCCTTGCCTTCCCTTTCTCCTCACCCCTTCACACAGCACAGAAGTGCTCAGACAGCTCCACACGCCCGGTCATCATGCATGGGAGAGAGTGAGCTGCCTGCATGGAGTTTTCCCCACTCTCAGGAGCTGCCCCGGGCTCTAAGTGTCATTTCCCTGCCACAGTCCTTCCTGTTTACTCAGTAATTAAAGTCCCGGCTTCTGGTGAACATCACGGGGCGGAACAGAAAGTGCACATAGGAGCTTTAGTGTCACATCTAACAAGGTCTGATCCTCATCTACATCTTACAGTTGGGTGACTTTAGGCCTCTTGCATAAGCACCTGAGTTCCAGGGTCCTCACCTCTTACATGACCAGTGCTCGGGAGCTAAGTGCCTTGCTTTTTTCTACCTGGTACCCTGGTACCCTGGTGGGAGCTGGGGACTCCATTTGGATCACAAGGTCTAGGTGCTGCCACATCTCCAACCTGACTCTTCTTAATTCCCCTAGCGGCGCTCTTCCCACCTGGCCTGGCTGTCAGGGAGAAGATCTTCAAGACGGCAGATGTTGTAAAATCATATTCAGATGCCCAGCAAGTCTGCAGAGAGGCTGGGGGACAGCTGGCCTCGCCGCGCTCTGCAGCCGAGAACGAGGCTGTGACACAGCTGGCCAGCGCCCAGAAGAAGCACGCTTACCTGAGCATGAATGACAACACCACGGAGGGCAGGTTCACGTACCCCACGGGGGAGTCACTGGTCTATTCCAACTGGGCCAGCGGGGAGCCCAACAATAAGGCCAAAGACGGAGGCCCAGAGAACTGTCTTGAGATCTATTCTGATGGCAAATGGAATGACATAGAATGCAGTGAGCAGCGCCTCGTGATCTGCGAGTTCTGAGCCCCTGGGGAGGAAGAGGGAAATGCCAGGGTTGTGTGCTGCCAGCATCTCAATAAAAAGGTGAACCTCTGCTGCTCACGGCTTTCCCACTGAGCCATAGGATGAGACCAGAAGGCAGGCCACTTATGGAACTCCTTCCTCAGAATAAAGTTCTAAACTGTCTTCACACTTGGAAGACATGTCAGAAAGAAGGGAGGGGGGCAGCCTGCTTTTCCAGGGGCAAGGGCTAAACGGAGGTCTCCAAGCCTCCCCTGTTGAAAAATTCAGCACCTCTGCCTCACCAAGATAGATGTCTAGCCCTCCATCTCCGCCAACCATCGGCCACATATGACCCCACTGGTCACTGCCTCCTCCTTCCCTTTCCTCTCTGGCCTTCAATCTTCTTATCCTTCAGTCTCTTTCTCTCACCTCTCCTCCTCTCCTGACACTCACAGAGGGGGAGCAGGATCCTCAGCTCTGGCTCTCTTCTCTCCTTGCACTCCCTCTAGACATGGGCTCATTCTCTCCCATGGTTTCAAATCCCTTTTATTGATGCCTCCCCCAGGTAGAGCCCTGTTTGGACCTCTCTCCAAAACCCAGACTCCTCTAACCAAGGTATGCTGCAGCCCCGGGGCTTGAAGGTCACAGTGGAGGGAAGCACCAGCTTCTCTGGCCATATTGAGTGGCCTTACACCCAGTAGAATCACCTCACCCTTGATCTTGACCACCCAGGATCTCTTTCTTCCCATGACAATGTGACTGTGGATGGCTCATCAGAGAATGTACAATTCACAGTCCTAATCCCTTCTGAACTTTCAGGCAGAGAGGGTGCCCAGCTATGTTCAGATTCATCCCCCAAACTCTTCCTGCCTTGAAGTACAAGGGATGTTCATCTTCACTCTGCCTCAGAGATAGGTTAGTCAAATGCTTCTCATTTTAGAGAAATGGAAATCAAGACACAGAGATGAAGAGAACTTGCATAGGTAGTAAACTCGGAGATAGTGTGCCTCTGGGCTGGACAACTGGTGTTTGTCAATTCAAGTAAAATTCAAGTTTTATTCTCACCTAGACACTCTGAGAACAAAGCTAGTGGCAAAAGCTGAGCTTTGCTAAAGCAAAGCGATATGGTGCCCACTCCTGAGTTCAACAAAGTCTTCCCTGTCTACACATGCACAGGAAAGCTTCTTGCGGGTCAAAAAGGGAGGGGCCCGACCCCATAATAAGTGTGGACATGCACCAATAAGACCCTGACATGGGATGTATCTTAGAAAACAGTTTCACAGGCACCTGGGGGAGGGTCCATGGCCCAGTCAGTTGTAAGAAATTAACAAGATTTAAGGTTAAAAAAAGGTAAACAAAGTCCCTGAAGGACTGTCTTACATAAGTCATTTATGTCACTTTTTACTGCACTCTGCCTCATTCAGGACATCCTCACTCCACCATGGGTATGTGTCTCTGCTTAGCTCTGACTTACTGCACTCCTCCTCATTAGAGAGGATGCCCATACCCTTTCTCTCTGGGGGCATATTTCTGCTTTGCTTCTGTCTTAAATAAACAACCTGTTTCTCTCTGTGCTCTGCCATACCGTGTGCTGTGTCTCTAATAATAAACTTTGTACCTATTTATACTTTTTGCCTCTTTGAAACATTCTTGCTTTCAAATGGGGGAAAGATCCGGAGTCACTTTGCTTCTAGCCTTTAGTTCCTGGTGGTGTGTTGACTAGAATTCCTGGGGTTTCATCCAGTCTACCCAGGTTCCACCCCTGGGCAGGGAAAGGGAAATAAGATATCTCTTCAGAAGCACTCGCTGCTCTCCCTCTGAGATCAGGAGCACTGGTGCTACAACTCACTCATGTAAAAGGCCATCTGATGCCAGAACTTACATTTGTGGCTTGTAAGTTTTGACCATAGGCCTCTGTATATTTACTTGATTTTATTGACACACTACTGCAAAGAGTTCCAGTAGAGCTATTCAAAACCCTAAAGGATAATGCCATCAAGGTGCTGCATTCAACATGTTAGCAAACCCAGAAGACCCAGCAATAGCCACAGAACTGGAAAAAGTCATTCCTCATCCCAGTTCCCAAGAAAAGTAGTAGTAAAGAATGTACTAACTGTTGGACAATTGTACTCATCTCCCATGCTAGTAAGATCATGGTTAAAATTTTGCATGCCCGTCTTTAGCATTGTGTGAACCAAGAAATTCCAGAAATCCAAGCTGGGTTTAGAAAAGGAAGAAGAACCAGAGATCATATTGCCAACTTTCGCTGGATTGTAGAGGAAGCAAGGGCATTCCAGAAAGACATCTATCTCTATTTCATCGACTATGCTAAAGCCTTTGACTGTGTGGATCATAACAAACTGTGCAAAGCTCTTAAAGAGATGAGCATACCAGACCATCTTACATGTCTCCTGAGAAACCTGTACATGGGTCAAGAAGCAACAGTCAGAATCCTGTGTGAAACATCTGATTGGTTCAAGATTGAGAAAGGAACACAACAGGGCGAACTGCTGTTCCCCTATTTACTTAACCTACATACTGAGCACTCCATGAGAAATGTCGGGCTGGATGAGTTACTAGCTGGAATCAAGATAGGTGGGAGAAACATGGCTACCTCAGATATGCAGATGGTACCACTCTATGGGCAAAAGGCAAAGAGGAACTAAAGAGCCTCTTGATGAGAGTGAAGGAAGAGGGTGAAAGAGCCAGCTAAAAACTAAATATTAAAAAAAATAACCCTAAAATCATGACATCCAGTCACATTACTTCATGGCAAATAGAAGGGGGAAATGTGGAAGTAGTGACAAATTTCCTCTTGGGCTCTAAGATCACTGCAGATGATGACTGCAGCCATGAAATCAGAAGACGATTTATTCTTGGCAGGAAAGCTATGACAAACCTAGACAGCGTGCTGAAAAGCAGAGACATTACTCTGCCAACAAGGTCCATATAATCAAGGCTATAGTTGTCCCAGTGGTCATGAACAGTTGTGAAAGCTGGACCATAAAGAAGCAGAATGCCAAAGAATTGATGCCTTCAAACTGTGGTGCTAGAAAAACTCCTGAAAGTCGCTTGGACAGCAAGGAGATCAAACCAGTCAATCCTAAAGGAAATCAACACTGAATACTCATTGGAAGGACTGATGATGAAGCTTCAGTAGTTTGGTCATCTGATGCAAATCGCTGACTCTATGGGTAAGTCCCTTATGCTGGGAAAGATTAAGGGCAGAAGAAGATGAGGGTGTCAGAGGATGAGATGGCTGGAAAGCATCACCGATGCAATGGACTTGAACTTGGAAAAATTTGGGGAGATGGTGAGGGACAGGGAGGCCTGGTGTGCTCCAGGCCATGGGGTTACAAAGAGTCAGACCCAAGTGGGTGACTGAACACACTGCAAAGAAAAATTTAAATGACATCTGTATTTCAGAATTTGGAATGAGGCCTGAAGGAACCACAGGCTCATGGAAAGGGTTGATGAATACCCCTCCTCCAGATAGGAAACCAGCCACTCTTTCCTTTGTTCCCAGGGATTAGGAGGACTGACCTCTCTGGCCCTGTCTGAATAGACCCCCAAGTCCCACCCCTCTTCCCAACACACTTGCAGCCACAATGTGTATGTGGGACAGCAGGTCTGAAAACAAAGCCACACCTCTCAACAGCGTGTATGCAGCTCAGGCTCCTGCTAAGATCTTTCTCCTGTTACAGAAAATATCCTCAATTTCTGATAGTGTCCAAAATATAAACAGTAATGAGCAAACAGTTCTTTAGTATAAAGGCCATGCCTGGTCATTCTTATCAAGGGAGTTTAGGGCAGCCTGTTTTTATTGCATATAAGACAAACAACTGGATCTAGTTGAGCCCAAGGGAGGCATTTTTTTCTGAGAACAGAGAATTCTGAATTAACTTTAGAAGGACTGGCAGGCACAGGCAATCTTGTGCTACCTCTCTGGCTTCTGCCTCTCTCTGCCCATCCTCACCTCTTTCCCTTCTTTACACAGCAACTTCCTCTGTGTCCAGGTCTCAAGATCTTAGAGATCAGAAACTCTTGCTCTCTTGCTTGACATCAATTCCAAACTATGCGGAAATACATCTACCTATCTCAGATGCCCACCTCTTATCCAGTCAACTCACTCTGGAACTGCATAGCTCAACATGGTCACGGGATGCATGGGAGGTCATTCTGACCTGAGAAGATGCTCTATGGGTGATCACTACTCATCCCAATATGTAAGCCATGCCTATTTCTTGACAAGGGGGAACTCTGTGACTCTCTAGGAAGAAAAAAACACTCCTGTGTTGCTGAAGTCCATAAATCCTGAGACCCCAAAGCCTAGGAAGAAGCTTCAGATCAACTTTCACCATGGGTGATGGGAGTCTGGTTTGCATCTCTCCAGCACAGAGAATAAGTAAAGAGAGTTATTTGGGCTCTGCAGACATAGTCCGATTAAAGCAGAGGAAAGAGGCAAGTATTTCAGAAAATGCAGGTTTTTAACCATTCTTGAACACAGAGGCCTCTCCCTCCTACACCTTCAGTCATGAGCAAATATCAACATGGATCTCCAATCACATCAGCCCCACCCCAACCATAGTAGCCATGACCCTAGTTTAGTAGCCTAGATACCAAGTGAAGCCAGAGCTGTGGTCCTCTTATTTTTGAAATGTTATGACACTCACAACACCAGCTGACAACATGGGAGCAAGCTGGGATCCTTCCATGTCTGACAGTGTTGTTGTTCAGTTGTTCAGCCATGTCTGCCTCTTTGTGACCCCATGGACTGCAGCACACCAGGTTTCCCTGCCCTTCACTCTTCTTATCCTTCAGTCTCTCACTCACCTCCCCTCCTCTCCAGACACTCCTAAGAGGGAAGCAGGAGCCTCAGCCCTGGCTCCCATCTCTCCTTGCACTCACTCTAGGCTTGGGCTACTTCTCTCCCATGGTTTCAGATTCCTTCTATTGAGGCCTCCCCCAGGTAGAGCCCTGTTTGGACCTCTCCCCAAACCCCAGAATCCTCTCACCAATGCAATCTGTAGCCCTGGGGCTTGGAGGTCATCGCTGCTGCCCCTTGCTGTGAGGGAGGTACTAGCCTCTCTGGCCATATTGAGTGGCCTTACATGCAGTAGAATCTCCTCACCCTTGACCTTGACCACCCAGGACCTCTTTCTTCCTGTGACAGTGTGACTGTGGATGGCTCATCAGAGAATGTACCATCTGCACAATTTTAACCCCCTCTAAAGTTTCAGGCAGAGAGGGTGTCCAGCCATGTTCAGATTCATCCCCTAACCTCTTACTGCCTTGAAGTACAAGGGATGTTCATTTTCACTCTGCCTCAGGGATAATCTAGTCACACCCTTCTCATTTTACAGACATGGAAACCAAGACACAGAGAGGAAGGGAACCTGCACTTTGTGAGGTAGGAGATCGTGTGCCTCTGGGCTGGACACCTGGTGTTTGTCAAGTCGAGTAAAATTCAAGTTTGTTCATACCCACACACTCCAAGGACAAAGCTAGTGGCAAAACCTGAGCTCTGCTAAAGCAAAGAGACAAGGTACCCACTCCTGAGTTCAGCAAAGACTTCCCTGTCTACACATGCACAGGAAGGCTTCTTGGAGGTGGAAAAGAGAGGGGGCTTCACCCCTGGTATGTGTGGACATGCACCAATAGGCCTCTGTGGTGGGATCTTAGAAAACATTTTCACATGCACCTTTTGAGGGTCCGTGGACCAGTCAGGTATGAAGGTATTAACAAGATATTTGGCCAAAGGTAACAAAGACCCTAATGGACTATCTTACATAAGTCATTTATGTCACTTCTTTACTGCACTCCCCTGCATTCAGGACGACCACACTCCACCACGGGGTGTGTGTGTCTGCTTAGCTCTGACTTACTGCACTCCTCCTCATTAGAGAGGATGCCCATACCCTTTCTCTCTGGGGATGTGTTTCTGCCTTCTTCTGTCTTAAATAAACAACCTGTTTCTCTCTGTGCTCTGCCATACAATGTGCTGTGTCTCTAATAATAAACTTTTAATCTATTTACGGTTTTTGCCTCCTTGAAATATTCTTGCTTTCAAATGAGGGAAAGAGCCAGAGTCACGTTGCTTCTAGCCTTTAGTTCCTGGTGGTGTGTTGACTAGGATTCCTGGGGTTTCATCCAGGGTACCCAGGTTCCATCCCTGGGCAGGGAACTAAGATATCCCTTCAGGAGCGCTCACTGCGCTCCCTCCAAGATCAGGAGCACTGGTGCTACAACTTACTCATGTAAAAGGCCATCTGACCCCAGAATTTGCACTTTCAGCTTGTAAAACTTTACACCAAAGGCCTCTGAATACTTAGTTGATTTCATTGACTCACTACTGCAAAGAAAATTTTAAATGAAATCTGTACTTCAGAAATTGGAATGAGGCCTGTATAACCACAGGCTCAGGGAAAGGGGTGATGAATACCCCTCCCCCAGATGGGAAACGGGCCACTCTTTCCTTTGTTCCCAGGAACCAGGAGGACTGACCTCTCTGGCCCTTTCTGAATAGACCCCGAGTCCCACCCCTCTTCCCAACACCCTTGCAGCCACACTGAGCATATGGGACAGCAGGTCTGAAAGCAAAGCTACACCTCTCAACAGCATGCATGC